TATATTGTATTATAAAAGTAAATAATATTTATTGATTTTTTTAGCAAAATTTATATGTATATATATATATATATATATATATATATATATATTTAATAATAATATATTGGAATTTTACTAAATAGTTATTGATGAACATATGAAATTTATGAAAAGAAACGAAATTAATATATAGCGTGAAATAAAGACAAAGAAAAACAATTAACTGGAGTAAGTATCTGTTTTTTACGGTTGAAAAGGCAAATACCAAAAAACAATCAATATACAGGAAAAACTAACGTAGAAAACAATAACTTCAATTAAACAAATATATGAGTACATACTTTTTTTTTTTTATAATCGCAAAAATTCCATACGAAAAAAATACATGTAATTTTTCTATTGCAGACAAACAACAAATTTGTTTCCAATAAGTTTGCATAAATCAAGTAGGAGTAGTAGAATGAATTGCGAATTGAAGAAATTGTAAATTGCGAAAACAAGTTCACTTAACTACTCTATTTCTTTTCCCATCGGTGTTTCATTGTCTACACAAACTTTGCACGTAGTGCTCGAAGTTTCATAAATCCGTTCTTTCACACTTTCCACATCTAAATTTAGAAAGGCTTCAGCAAACACAGTATTTCGTATTTTTAACATTCGCGAGAAAGCTTCTGTTAATAAATAAACAGCACAAAAATATCTCGAACGATTCAGAAAAGACTGAACTGCTGAAAAATGGGTCACTATATCTATTTCTCTTATAGCTGACATATCACGTGAAAAAATTCTGACGTAACTGCAGTATTCTGATACGATCAAATTAAAACAAGAAACGAAATTCGTCTCCTGGTTTTTTATTGAAAGTCCGATGAATTGTACACTAGGGTGGCTGTCATTTACAAAGGTAGCGAAAAATAAAATTTAATAAGCAAATCATCTTTATCGATTATACAATAATTCACAGTAATTCCGACAATTCTGAGAAAGATTTTTGATTGATAAAAAGTAATTCGTTTGAAACGGATATAAAATGTACACATTCGTTTTAGTCTTTATTGATAAAAAATAATCAAAGCTCACTTTAGTTTTGAAAATTGAAAAACAGTAGATACTTTTAATTTATTTTTGGCTTTTTTCTCATTTTTTCCATAAATCATTCGATGCACGAAAAAAAGTAATGCAACATAAAAAACGTGATCTGTCCAAATCCACAAATTTTGTCTAACATGATTTTCGATATAATCAATAATTTAGAAGATATTCGAGAAAATTTATTTTATGATCATTTATTCAAGAACCCGAGAGTACATTACTCAAATTCTGCACAGATATTTTTTTTATTGAAGGAAATCATTTTGGTGAGTGCTGCGAAAAAAATTCAAAAGTTGAAGACAAGTAGTATACTGTAGGGTACACTGTATTGTTTGACAGAGGTTCACGTCTCCAACACTTAATTAATATTAAAACTAGCACTTCCACGACAAAAAATGTTTTTAAGATCCGCTTACCTGCCTTCGGAGACCACCTTAGTTGGATTTGCAGCCACGCGATATTCCACTTGGGGTGAGAGTGCTCTGCCTCCTCGGCTTGGGGTGGCACTTCTCGACACACTTGTCTGCAAGTCTTCGAGAAGAGCGTCTGCAATCGTTAAAGACACTGTTTCCCACTATTTTTATTTGCATCGACGAATTATCATGTATTTCCTCCTTGAAAAATATTAGGAGTTGAAAATGTATTCTAAGGTTATTTCATATTCTTCGCTCGTTACTACGCGCATTTTTTCCCGACATTTTCTTAATATTTGGAAGATACTACAAAATTCATGGAACCAAATCGGATCAGGAATAATGGAAGAACTAATAAAACGGATACCGAAATTAGGCCATGACCTATATATTAAAAAAAGAAAATTTAAGTTTCTTTTGTAAAATTTATGTTATTTCTATTATAATGTAAAATATATGCATATATAAACTTGTTACAGTTTAATGTAATTAACTTTGAAATCAATTTAAGAAATTATAACAGTTTTCTACCAGTTTTTTAAATTTATTTAATTTTCTGTATGTGTCCTAATACTTTTGGAAGGAGGGTTTATATTATACGTGTATAAAACGAACTTCAAAGAAATTAAGGTGTAAAAGCTATCGTACAGCTAAGAAGTGTTTGAATTCTTACTCAGTAAATTATATTATTATTCATCTACCTTAACGCTTTAACTGTCAATCCAGCGATCTCAAAAATTGCATAAAATCAAAGTAATTTATTTAAGCTCTTAACGATCATGCTTATGTATCTCCAGATCCGTGTACATTCCAGATCATTTTGAAAATTGTATTACAATCTAAAAAGTTTGTTAAAAAAATGTATGTTGAGAAAAAGCTATCTACACTAACAATTTTCAATAAAATATTAACACTATTGATAATAATGCATACAGCTAGTCAGAAAAGTCTCCGTATACCCTTTGAAATAGAGTAACTTTATTGAAAGTGCAGCAAACAATTTAGAAAGATTAGTTCACTACGTGCCGCATAAACTTTTGTAACTTATAATTGACAAGAAGTGTAAAGAAGATTATGAATATTGCCTTTTATTTTGTTACTTCATTGTAAGATATCTGAATATTTTTATGGAGTCGTTCGGAACATAGTTTCATTCTTGTTTCATTCTCAGACGATTTTTTAATGTATAGAGTATAAGAAAAAACTTTTTGACAGTTTTTTGCTAGCTTTGAAATTTTATGCTTATAGATATCCTGTTTCTTATTGGCAAAATATCGTATCAATTGGTTGTTTAACACCCTTACCAACTGGAAGTTTTTTGAAATACAAAACAACTTTACAAACGATCTGGTACAACTTACAATGTTTTTCATCTATTTTTAAGATTTCCATTAAAGGCAAAGATTAAATAATATTATAAAAAACGAGAATCGTGATCAAGTGCAATGTCCACGAAAAACTTATGCACCAGTTAGTAAACGAATCCTTGTAACATTAGAAACTTTAGAAAGCTCAACTCGTTTAACTAATTTTTAGAAAGTTACCCTGTTTTTAAATGTGTGCGGAGCTTTTATTAAGCGACTGTACTTTAGATAAAAAAAATTGATATATAAGAAAATTATGTACGAGAATATTAAATCACATTTATATGATAAATACTTACACCTTTTGTAATACGGAGCAATACAAGGCCAGACAATGAACAGATGAAGCAACAGTTATACAATAATTCATATTGTTTGTGAAATAATCGCTTATAGAGTAGAAGATTTACCTAAACATTTAAAGATTTACCTAAATTGTTTTCGAGGCTGTTGGCCGTGGTTGCAACCTGGCTCTGGCCAGATATAGGACTGCCATGACTCACGATCTTTCTACTGCTGCGTGTTGTAGTTCTCTCCCTTATGGCCGCTGACATTGCGTTCTGCTTAATTCCCTGCCTCACGAAACCTGACAAATCAGAAATATAGATATCGATCTATTAACAAATGATTAAGATATCAACCGCGCATTTGTGGTTGAGAGTGAAGGGAGTAGAGTGTGAAACAATTTGCGCATCCAGATACATATATGCACAAATGCGAGGTGCATGTGCCTTTGGCATGAATAATAAAGTAAATATTCAATTTTTCTCAGATAAAATAAACTCGTCTTTTGTTTCTAATGTCTGAACTCTGGATTTTTATACAAAAAAGAAATTATTTGTGATCTTCATGATTTTAATAAGTTCACAATAATACAAGAGTATTTTGAACTTCTTTAATTTTGTAACGAAAAATGATTGTCGTCTATACGTGTTATATCGAGAACATAAATCAATTTGTAAACTTATTTTCTCATGATTGCAAATTGATAATTGACGCCAATCAATGCCCTATTAATAGAAGTTCTTGAGCATGCACAGAAAATGAAGCATAATCGTATAAAGTTTATAAGGTTATAAAGACCTTTTATATAAAATTATTCTTTCTTAATTCAGTGTCCCCGTAGCAAACACTAACATAAGCGTTAAGGGGTTAAAGGTTCTTACTGTATTTCGTATTTGATCTGCTCGTTTTTGCCACAAATACATAAAGCCCGCGGTCTACTAATGTCAAGTTCATTATACGGCTAGAGCAGAGACGTTTCCAAAGAAAATCGTACTAGTGAATGGCGTCGCGAAGCTAAGTGCAGCTCGGATGATTCTCATTCAGGTACAAATCTGCGCCTTACGTAAGCGTCCAGCAAATCGTCACCCATGTTTTTTAGGGGAAAGCTTTGGGCAAAGCGACTTTTACTTGACTCTTGTTGTTACCGTCTCGTCTGAATATAGGACGTAACAGAGGTCCTATTTATAGAGGCTGCACGTTTATAAATATGGCAGATTCGAAGAGATCGAGAAACTGGATCTAGAGGCGCGGTGCAGGAACTTTCGCAGTGAATACCTGAAGCCGGTTTATTGGCCGAGCTCGAGTCACTCGCGGGCTAAAGCAGTGGCATTTCGAATTAAGTGGGCGCAGGTAATGCTGGCCGTACTAGATGGTTACCTTACGAACTGAAATTTATTCCTATCTCGACGTTCTCGGACAGACCGAACCGCGAAAAGTGCCGCACTTGCCAATCAAAAGTTCCTCGCCTTGTATTTTTCATTCCTTTGTAGCTTAAGGGTGTGGGAAATGCAAGTGTTACTACTCACACAGCAGATAAACGTATATGTACGTACAGTGAGTCACAGTGAAAATCGTACAGCACATATCAGAAAATGTTTCGTCTTGTAAAAAGGTTTAGGGATGATTTGGAAAAATGAATTTGATGGGTATACATATATTGTAAATGTATCTACATTTATTATGTATTAATGCAAAAACAAACGAACTTTTTTATATATACAAAAAATACATGTAGTTACCAACATCCAGCGTGAAAAACGCTGTTTAGCAAGTTGCTTAATTAAAACCTCGATTATATATTCTATCTCTTGCAATCTATTTGGCATCGATCCTACCAGTTCTTCTGTAAAAGTGGGTTCAAATTGGGGCTGTATGCTTGCAGCTGGAATTGGTAATTTAGAATTCATTGAAGGAATCCAAAATTTCAAATTCAAGACTTTATCGAAGCCTATGGGAATCTACTGCATGAATATGATATTCAATCTGAAATCTTTTAGTGCTTAATTATTGTGCTGCGTTGTATTTTGCTTGAAGAAATTTAATAATAAAGTTATCTCGAGGTGCAAACAAATTTTGTAATATGATTTATGCTATCCTTGTGGAATAATGCTCTGTACAATGTTCAACTATTTAGAATGCTGCATTGGTTTGTCAACATGCTTTTACGGCCTTTACTGACCTTGAGGCACTTCTCAGTGTAGATCATTGAATTTGTGTTTCAAGTAGCTGTCGCTTACAAGAGAAACAAGGCATAACATTCTATTTAAAAAAAAAGAAACAAGTTAACCTTCAGATATGATTGATACTTTTTATGAAGTTGAAATTCTTCTAAAAAACATTTTTGTAAATTCTGAATAAAATTATGGTTTAGGCAGTAATAGAATTAGTTGACACTTCCTGTAAGGAAGAAAATTTATTGAATCCACAAAAATAAGAGAAATATTAAAAACATGTGCCTAATAATTACTAGAAAGAGGATCTTTATGCAAAATAAAAATTGTTTCAATCTGTTGCAAAAACTAGAAGTAATTTAAAACTTTCGTTCCTTCTTTAATCATATTAGTAGTGCAAATTTTATGCATTTATGACAAAAATTTAGTACATTAAATGCAAAACAGTAGAAACATTTGAAGACTTTAAAAACACCATTGTATTATTTTCAGTTTGATAAAATTATTAAGAATAGAAATAGATATGTATCTAGCTTCTATATCTTTCAATTAGTGCAAACAAGTTTTATTTTGCGGGAAATTATAATAGAAACGAACGAATGAAATACAAAATTTTAAAGACACACGAGAAGAATTTAAGAATATTGCTACACTTTTTTTTACTT